TTTTGTTTGCAAAGAATCTGTTAGCAAGATATTTAGTTTAGTTTAAAAATAATATGTGCAACATTTTTAGTCTCAATTTAAAACTTAACTGGTTTTTATTTTTTATTATTTTTTGCAGATCTAATTCAATGTTTAAGGAGTGGTCAATTATTTATTATTTGTAATTATTTGTAATGTTTTTGAAATTTTGTATGTGTTGTATTTATTCACTTTTCTTGGTATAACTGAATATTTATTCATTTACAGAGTATAATAAAATATTATAAAAAATGACTAATTATTGTTTTATTGGCTAAATATTTCATTCAGTTAAGTTTGTGCCTAATAAAAGTTTTATTGTTAATTGAAAAAATATTTCATCTTTGGATGAGATTGTAACTGGCACATTTAATACACAGCAGAGCCATTTTTGCCACATTTATTGTCTGTAATGTTTTTTGGCAGGAATATGAAAATAGGTTTTATTAAATGTTATATGAAAGAAATTATATATATAGATATTTGCTCAAAAGACGTTACAAACATATAATTTTACCTTTATTTTTTAATTATATATAAATTGTAATGACTTTTTACATTATTTGTTATCTATATATATATATATTAATAGACATAACTTTTCTTTTATATAAAATGTAAAAAGAAAATAAAAACTTATGATTGGAAAAGAATTATGGACTTTTTATTTAAACCAATGTCCAATTTATGAAACATAATACTATTATTTAACTTATAATTTTAGTATTACATGAATATATATAACTTATAATTTTAATATCATGAGTGCCTATGCAAATGCACATCATAAAATACCAGTAATAGCAATAATATGAATCTGTTTGAGGGGTAATTATTACTGCTCATAATTTCAACCTTGTAATTTCCATTGGGCATATTATTGTTACATGTGAAAACTTATAATATTTTAGGGGTGCACTTACAAGTGGAGCCTTAATTGTCTATTTATCTTTTTCCTTTTTAATCACTTCATGAATGAGACCTACTAAAATCCTCTCTACTTTCTGATGTAACTCTTAATAATTGCACATTATTATAGCAACCCTGGAATAGGGTTAATGATGTGACATAAATTATGGTTGTGATGTGGGTTCAGTGAACTACACATATGTTCATTACTATCCATGTTGGATGTAATAATATTTATACACAACTAAGAAAACATAAAAATGAAATTAAGAGATGGCCTGTTGTATATCTCACTAGTACGTGCTTCGTGCAATGAACGAGACAAATATATTAAATGAGTTCATTTCAGAGAGTTTATTCATTTAAGTCTAAAAAAATTGACTTATCATCTATTTTCCACCTTTTTTAGTCATCGTTAGTTTAAAAAACAATAGAGTTATAATATATTTTCTATCTGTTTTAATTATCGTTGTTTCTTAGCAGAATATTAAATATGAACACGTTAGGGCTAGCGTGTAAAGTAATTAATATATTATCTCACTAACACATTTATACTAATATAAATTTGATTTTAGTATATATATTTATTAATTGATATAAGAAAAAATAACAGTTTTACTTATTATCGTTCACCATATAATACTTAATTATTATTTTATTATAAGCTTTGTTCTGATATAATGTCGTTATAATTTATAAAAATTATAGAAGGTGTACGTATTCTTTTTATTTTTATTTTATGTAATGAAAAATATTTAAAGCATGTTAGTATTATTTATTTATGTAATCAATTTAAAATATGTAATTTAATTTAAAATTAAATAATGTATAAATATCTTACAAAATATACACACATGTTTTTTAAAATTTAGTTTTGTATACTAATTAAACAACTTTGATTTAGAAAATGCCAAAAACTGAATCCCTTTTATCATCAAGACTTTTCTAATTCGCATTATATGGATTTATAGTTTATTTAGCATACTATGTAATGAAAATATACTTTACATGATTTTCCTCATAAAAATAAATCAAAATCATAAAAATAATAAAAAAAAATCATGGTTTGTAATAATATAAAAATAAATTCTAAAGAACAGTTAATATATTTTAATTTTAATTTTTTCCATTAGTAAAATTATTGTATCTGGTCATTATCTCTTAGATAGTAAATTATATTCATTTGAAGAATAATTTATTTTTATATATATAACGAAATAAAGTTAAGAAAAAATTTTATTGGCAAGATTAATTCACCAACTTGATTTCGCCTGATTAATTGGAAGAAAAAAAATTCTACCTAACATGTTACGATTTTCTATAAATATTTTTGCATAAAAAGTGAATTGTTGTGGAAAAAAATTAATATGATGGTTAGAAACTTAGAACTTATAATATGTTGTAATATTTATCAACATGAATCATGAAAAATCAATCTTGTAATTTTTTATTATAATGGAAACTATTGCAGATATTAATAAAATTATTTAAGGAAATAATATGTTTTGGTCATATCTGACTTGATCTTATTTGAAAACGTGTATATAAAGCAACTAATGCATATATTTAAAAAGTTTCTAAAAAAGCATGTATTAAATGCTCACAAAATTTTTACTACTATTTTTAGTAATTGGTTATTCTTATTATATATATAGACATATATTTATTTTTATCTTGTGATAAAAATGAACATTAATTGGAGTAAGAGACTAGGAAAAAAAAAACACAAAAAGGAATTTCATTATGGGAGAAAAAGGTGAAAAAAAAAGAAAAAATATGTAAAATAATTTTATTCATTAATTTGGATCTTATTTATAGAAATTACAAAGTACATTACTCTGACATCTAGTGGGCTTCAGGCCTGAATAGTTTTATCGGGGGAAAAACTAATTTAAAATTTCTTTGGAAAAGTGACATTTTTGTTATTTGTCATATAAAAAAAATACTATTTGAGTTCAAACTCTTAATACTCAAACTTTGACTCGAGCCTTTATCAAGTCAAACTTTAACTAATGGGATCAATAAAAGAGTATGACCTCGAATTGTTTATCAAAATTTATTAGTCGAACATAAATCTTAACGATCTAAAGTAGTTCAAGGTATATTACGTAAAATTCTTATTTCGAAATTCGAGTTTAGTCTAGCTCGAACTTGTTGTTTATTAAATGAGGCGAGCCAAGCCGAGACGACGAATGACTTAATTCGTGTAATATATAGATATTGATAGAAATTTGATTAAAATCAAGAATTATATGATATTCTATAGCCTCAAAAGAGTGATTATTCCTATATATTGTAGCTTATTATGAATATGATGGTTTTGATTGAAAAAAAAAATAAAAAAAAAATAAAAAACATAACCCATGTGAATCATGGATATAAATGGAAATCTCAGTGGTTTCCAAAAATCCTAATTAGATTTCTATATGTTACAACTTTTGGTTTGTAATGTCCAACTTTCACTCAACATAATCAATACCTTAATTACGTTAGCGTTAGTTTAGTATAAATTATATGTTTTGTGGGGTTACACATTGGCCTAATTGTGTCGCTCCTCCCATGCACCAACCTTGATGATATCTGGAAACATTTATTTATCTTACTATTTTTTGTTGATTAATTAAGATTGCATAAAATAAAAATCTCTCATATATATTAATTCAAAACGTGCTGAGCTAAGTGACAGACTCACGTGATTCTATGTGGAAAAACTGCATGTTTCGTTAGGCTTGGGTATATTTTAATTTACTTCCAATCCAAAAATAATTAGGTCTGGATTATCCATAAATATATCGATTATTTATGGTCATGTTATATGTATTAATTTCATTTTGATATCATTTCTTATTGTAACCATTGAATTGTAAATGTATTTTAAAAGTTAATATTTTTTTTTATCAGGTTTACATACATAATATCTCAAATTAATCATCTCTTGATGAACTTCGATTTAACATCCATATTGTATGTAAGAAGAAAATAAATTGTATTTTATCTTTATAACAATAATAAAATAACACATGTAAGTCGCACAAGTAACAAGTGTTATTCTAAAATATATAATAATATATATTTTTCTGTAAAAAAAAGTAAATAAAAATTAATTTTGAAATTCAAAAATAATTTTTTAACAAACACATGTGTAATACACGGGTATTGTACTAGTTGTTGATTATTGTTAAATGTATTTTAATATATTTGGAAATTATAAAATATTTTAAAAAAATACATCACTAATGTGTACATGCTACATGAGCGGTGGACATATTAACATGTATCCACCGTTGGTAGGTGAGCATTATTGTTAGTAGATGTTTTTTTTCTCATGATTAAAAATAAATGTTATTTTGGTGTGTGCCCAAAGAAGCTCCAAATAATGAGAGGAATTTTCAGTTGTTGAGTCCGGTTTCATGGGCTAACAGAAGTTATTTTGAAGTGCCTCTTTTTGTAGGCTAGACAAATTGGGCCATAAGAAAACGGCCCAAACTACTTTTGAGAAAATTGCACTATCAACGAACATAAAGTAAAATAATTGTATATATACCAACATAAAATTTTATTAGCAAAAGTAAAATAAATACACATAATATTTGCACATATATGATGGTGCACGAATTTAATATTGCACTTTTTTAAACAATTTAATTGAGGTAGGTTGAGTTTCATAGGGTAATGTGAGGATTTCATGGGGTGAGATATCTCTCCAACTCCTTGTCATCATTTTTTTTCTTCTCTCTTTCATAAAAGTGATTCATCTACTCTTAATTTATGAAATTCCAGCTTGAACATCTGTTCTACACGTCACTTTTGATTTTTCTTTATTTCTACATTCAATTTTATTTGACATCATAGTTCTAAAAATCGACATATTCTTTTTCTCCAAAATCTTCTTCCACGAGAACTAATCAGTGTACTTTTTTTATTACAAATTAATTTTGATTATTTTTATTTTTGTTGATTTATGAAATCCCATGTGTAAATTTATTGTATCATTTGAAAGTAAATTAGGAATTTTTCAAAGCGTAGGTTTGCAGTTAAATTGCAACCTAATTCTTTGTGGACCTAATTTTTCTCTATTTTTTTTTTCGATTGGCCGGAGACCGGAAACTGACGGTCTGGAGGATATCAACGCGGGTTAGCGAATCAGTAACTAGCAGACCCGCCAGCGGCAAGGCGACCCTAGACCCCGAGTGGCGACCATCAAACTGAGAAGGCGCGTTGCCCATCGACGACCGAAGATGGCAGCTCGTCGCCCCGAGATCAGAAGGTTGGAGCATTGGCTGAATGTTTGGAGAGTGTTGGTTTAATGTGTTATGAAAAATTTAAGCATTTGATAAGAGTGGAGTGTTGGCTGAATGTTAGGAATTGAGTGTTGGTTGAATCAAATTTGTTTAGAGGGCATTGTTATGATCGGATTGTTTCATTGTTTATTTGATTATTTTTTGTTTGATATGATTTTCTTTTTTGTTTTTTTTTTTTTGTTTATTTGATGTTTATTTACAATTTATGTTTAGTATATTAGTTGATTGTTTTGTTTGATATGATTTTTTTGATATATTAGTTTATGTTCTGAAGATAGTAGTTCGTATATAGTGTTTTGATCCAGTTTTTTGTTTCTAGAATCATGATTCAGCAAGGCTATTGTTTGTTGTTGATAAGGTTAATTGATTTGAAGTTGTTGATGACTTTGCGGGATAGTAATGTGGAGTTGAACAGAGAGGTTTCATCTGTTGGTTTATTAACAAACATATAGTATTTATTTTCACCTAATTACAGGTTTATAAACAATTCTTTTACAAAAGATAAACAGAAGATATACGTCTTGGAATGATGCTACATTAGTCGGACAAAAAATATATACTAAAAATATATTGTATATACCCGCAACATATAAAGAAACAGTTGGAAGGATGCTACATTACTCGGACGGAAACATATACTGACAATATACGGTATATACCCGTAACATATACAGAACAAAACAATCTATCAACGAATCAAGCACACTAATACAAACATGTTGGTCTTGCAGAAACATACAAATATATTGGAGTTGCACAGAGAGGTTTCATCTGTTGGTTTATAAACAAACATATAACATTTATTTTCACCTTATTACAGGTTTATAAATTATTATTTTACAGAAAATATACAGAATATATACGTCTTGGAATGATGCACATTAGTCGGACCAAAAACATATACTAAAAATATACTGTATATACCCGCAACATATATATATATATACAGAATAGTTGGAAAGATGCTACATTACTCGGACGGAAACATATACTGAAAATATACGGGATATATCCGTAACATATACAGAACAGAACAACGGATCTCGAATGACATGACAAGACGAAGCTGGGAAGGAGAGGTGATGCCATCAATGATTTAGATTTCCATGATGGTGATCGGGAACACGACCATAGATCGATGGTTTTTTATCGTGACTTCATCAATCGTTAGTCCGCATGGCAACATTACCATCCTCACCTACATTTTCTCCAATTCCTTCCCCATCAACAAAATCGACACCGAACAAGCAGAACCTCACCAATTTCACTCCAATTAATCTATTTACCTCCGGTGGGGTTTCTTCCAATCGATTTGATTTCCCGCCGAGGTTGTGGGTGCGGTTGGCGGACTCAGAGGTCGCGTTCTACATCCCGAAGACGCCGGCGACAAGGTTCTTGCTCAAACATAATTCTCGCAAATTTGTTATTGCCTAATTGACTATAAAAACAGTCTTTTTATGTTTATAGATGTATTTATTTTTTAATTGTTTAATTCTTTCAGTTACGACAATCAAGGGATACTCCGTTTTTATTTTGGTAAGCTGATTTTATGCTCTTTTCTAATTATTTGCACAATATTTCGTAATAATGCTAAACTGTTTGTATGTCTCGTATATCCACATTTATTTAGAAAACAGTCAGCACACATGTAAATAGCCCAACTATTTTCATCAGGGCTGAACCTGAAAGTTTGCATTCTCAAAATGATTTAGAAGTTAAAAGAAATTACACAATCAACCTTTAAATCTATTTATATTTGCACATGTATGAAGTTTTTTTTTTTTTTTTTTTTAATTATAAATATAGTAAATTTTCACAATTTGTGGATGGTAGATTTTTACTTCTATTATTCTATAATTGATTTCTAAATTGCAGTACTTTTTATGCATAAATTTATATGGTTTATTTATTATTTTATTTTGAATCATCATATATTGTCATAAGATTTCAAAAAGTATAGTTAACATGTAAATGTGAAAAACTAATAAATCAGTGGTTCGTCCAATTTTGCCCACCGAACCTTGGTTAGAACTGTTAAATTAAACGAGCCGCTCGTGAACTAGGTCAACTCGACTCGGCTAGTTTGATAGACGAGCCAAGTTCGGCTCAATAAGACTCGAAAAGATGGGTTTTGTGTATTATTCTACAGTTTAGCTCGTTAAAGCTTGATTTTGGCTCTTTAATAATGATAAACGAGTTGAGCTCGAGCTTAATTATGAGCTCGTCAAGAGATCGAGCTCGAGCTCAAGCAGAATGCGCACAAACTCGACTCGGCTCGTTTACACCCTTAGAGCTAATCAAATCATGATGCAAAGTTCTGGTTAGAACCGAAATCATGGTCAACGGTTAACCAGAGTACTGAACAATCGTTCAAATGTCCAACAGTTCGTTTCTGAAACGTGAACATTTATTCGACGCGGGAAGTTCGAATTTATACAGCAAAAGTAGCAACATGAATGGCAAAAAATGGTAACCTTATTCAACTTGCACTCAAGTTTCCAAATAACAGCTGCAGAAAATGATGATAACAAAACAGAGCGAACTTAGATAACACAGACTTTCACACACGTTTAAAAGTCCAGATAATCATCGCTAGTTTGCAGCTGAAGCAGATTCATACGGAACTTTATATATAGCTGAGTCGCTTTTCAAGAATTTCCCGCTACCATCGGGCACTTGATCCCCTTTAACACCGCGTATCTGTTTCAAATACAGGGTTAAATCCGGTGCTCGACTATTATAGTTAATAATATAAGGGAGTTTCACATGCTTTTTGTTTTATTTCTAAAAAATAGAATGTGAAAACATCCAAATTATGACAAATACAAGAGGATTTCAAACATTTAGACTATAAATGTAATGCTCAATTTGTTGATAATATAAGGGGGTTTCTCGTACTTTTTTCGTAAACAAAAATGTGAATACGTGCAAATTAAGATAAAATATAGGGGGGATTTCTCACATTAAACCCGAATATGAGATTATAACTACCTCCACTTGACTTAGGTCGACTCCATTTTCCTCGAGAAAGGATAGAAAAGTTTCAAAGCTATCATCGGTCGGCTTATAGTGTCCGCTGTAGGCCGAGATTGACTGAAACATACAAAAATTGCGATTGCATTAGGTACAAAACGGTATGACTAGAAAGCGCTATACGACAAACTAATCATATAAGATCAAGTTGATGCTCGAATATAATTACATTGTAACTTCAAAAAAAAAAAAAAACTTTCATGTAATTTTCACAATCTAATGTTTTAGACAGTAAGAAGAACCTTGAGTTCTCCATCTTTTGCCACTAACATCCCAGCAGCCAAAGTAGCACCTCCAGCAAGAAAGCTTGAATGGTGGAATTGTCCCCTCTTTTTCTGTCGACACGAAAAAAAAATAACAAAATTTAAAGATCTAAGATAGTCGAAAATTATAATTAAGAATCATATAAGGCTTGTAATTCTAGCTTATTATATAAGAGAGTAGAGACGATTCACCTCTGCAGAGTAGAGTCTTTTAGAAACGCTCATGACGAAAATATTCCAAGTGGAACCTTGGTTTGTGTCGAGAGGTTCTCCGGTTAGTTTGTGCAGTATTTTGCCACCCACAACTGAGTATTCGTAATTTTCTCTCTCGACCTAAACACATAAAACGATGTTTATGGAGAATATGCCGGTATACTATTTTATGAAACGATCAAACGGGTCATCAAGAAACACCACCGAGGTTAGAAAATTATGGCCACCGGTAGATTTAGATGACGATGCATGCAATTTCAAAACATGCATTGTTACTCTTAAAGTTATAGTATGTCTGGTATATACATTTGAAATGCTAGATGGTAGATTTTAAGTTTTCATAAATGAATTTTGATTGATAGCTTACCTTATGATGATCACTAATATAATAAAAGTATTCAATAATATAAAAAGGTTATGAACTAATTAAATAATTATAAGCTAAACTTATAATGTTTATCAAACACACTCATAATATGCTATCAGAATATAAATATTATCGAGTGATTGCCAACAATGACTCTCATGCTTATAGTATGCTTATAGTAAGAATTAAAGAAAATTTTAAAAGTAGTCCCACAAGTATAGGGGGTGACATTATACAGAATATTAAAAATCAAAATAGTCCCAAAACTTAAAAAAAAAAAAAAATTAATCAAAAGTAGGACTTTTAAAACGATTTCCAGCCCGAAAGGCCCGAAAAGTTACTTGGCGCAGGTGTGAAAGTTTTTCTTCACACTCTCACAACAATCATCACACGCGGCATGACACTATACCTGTTGGACTAATTTTGAACTTTTCCCTATTTTTTATATTGTTATGTTTTTCAGGGGCGAACGCACTTATAATGTAGCTTTTCGTTTTTCTTTTTACCTAAATATATATGTAATGTATTAGATTAAGTATATTTAGTTATTAATGTCCCCCCATTAATCAATCAACTAATGATATATTGACTTTGATTAGGGTGGCTAACACAAGTCAATAGTCATTAGAGATATATTTAAAATATAACCCATAAAACCCATTTAACTTCCACCTTTTATTGTATTGTATTAATAGTACAATACTCGTATACTACACGGTACTTGATAAAAAAAAATATTTTTAAAATTAAATAATAATAACAATAGTTGTTTAAAATTATATATATATATATATTAGTTTAGTTTGAAGATTTCATAACATTTAATGAGTCGATTGAGGACTTTCAAAAGAAATCAAAGTTAAATTAGTCAATTAATACCATTACCAAATATTCCAATACAACTTAAGTGTTATATTAGTCAAACTATGGGATTACCAAGTTAGTTTTTTAATACTTTTGGAATGTCTGAACCTAAAATTATTGATCAAATTAATATTTTTTTTTTATCCAGACCAAACAATGAAGCATGTTTTTTCGTCAAGTAGGATTACGAAGCGTGCGAGACTGCCATTTAGGCTCAGCACATTTTGCAATTATATACAGGGGGATTTTCTTATTAATGAAACTAATCAAACTATTCTAATTAACTTAAATCCAAATTTCGAAGTAAAATGGAATATGACTTTCTTGTAATTCTTTTACTATCTTTGTTGAAAGAAAAATTGCAAGATCTGTTACTATCGAGTCAATCACTGATAGGTTTCGTGACTTAAGAGAATGCCGAGTACAATTCTAATAGTTTCAAAGTTTGAACGATATGTATTTTCTTGAACTAATTTTTTTCTTTTCTATTCTAAAAAGCAACTTTGTCTTTTTAATGAAGTATGTCATTATTAAAAAATATTTAGTCCCCCAACTAAATTTTCTAAATCCGCCCCTGATTTTTTTTTTGTACTATAAATTATTATACACACACACTCACGCACACACGCGCGCACACACACACACACACACACACACAC